AGATCCGGGCGTTACAAAAGAAGTACCAGGAAGAGCTGACGAACAACTATCAGGGAGTCTATTCGGCCAGAGCGGCCGTCGTCTACGAGGAATTGAAGAATAAAGGGATAATACTGGACCCAAAACCGATCCGGGCCGATGAAGTGCATCTGGACAAATCTAGATATTGCGCTTACCACAAGTCACACGGCCATAATACGGACCAATATAGAAATCTGATATCTGTCCTTTTAAAACTAATTGATGATCCACAGGTTAGAAGGTTTACCAAGGCTGCAGGTGAAAACTGACGCCCTAGGAATGACGAACGAATGGAGTTGGAGGACGAACCCAATTTTGAGCCAAACATGCGAAGGACGAGGAAACATCCGAACGAGATTCTCACCATAAGCCAGGAGAGAAGGGACAAAGCAAGTACGTCCGGAATGGGTCGGAGGAAAAGAACCTTATCCGTTCGAGATGGAGCGGAATTGGCCAACCATCCAATCAGATGCAATGTGCGGGCTGGAAGGATCAAACACGAGCCGGGGAGATACGGGCGTATCCAGAAGGCAGGTCAAGGCGTATGCGCGCCGAGCATACAGTACCGGACACCAGATCAGTCGCGCTGAAGTAAGGGAACAACTGCCAATCGTCACAAACCTGATAATGTTTTCAGACATTTTATAGTATTTTCTTTACAGAGAAGGGGCCCACGGGCCCCCTCGGCCTAGTATGTTTATGCATAACACTATAAAAAATTTGTTATATTCTAATAGAAAATTCTACGGTAGAAGACTAGTATCCGTTTGACCACCCCTACTCGGACGCACTGGTCATCACAGCCCCGATTTTCTACATCCCCGTTCACTGAATAATGGTAGACATGGGTGCGTATTCAAGCATATTGTACTGGAGCACCTTCCAGAGGATGGGGATTGACAGAAGTGAACTCCGCCCGTGTAATGACCGAATCACCGGGTTTAATGGACAAGCAACCTTGCCAGAGGGAGAGATAACATTGCCAATCGAAATCGGAGGATCGGGGCCGAATGATCGTGTGATCATGAAAACGTTTAAGGTCGTCAAGATGAACAGTGAGTACAATGCCATTCTGGGTCGAACGACCCTGTATAAGCTTAAGGCAGCCGTGTCGATTTGTCACTACGCGATCAAATTCTCGACCGAAAGTGGAGTGGGAGTGCACTATGGCAACCATAGGGAGGCTCGCGAGTGTATTATGGCTATCCCATGGCTTGAGATACACTCGGTCATGACCGTGAACAGAGAACCGAACCCTGCCGAAGAGGAGAACAAACAGTCTGACGAACAGATGGGACGAACAGTCAGATGTCGACCGAGTCCGCCGAGGGAAAGGGGCCGGATGAGGATGAAGGTTTGAAAGCTTCAGAAGAGGGTGATAGTGAAGGCCAAGGAGGCAGAAAAAGAAAGTAAACGGAACCAAGCGAGTTACTTGGAGAAAAAAGTGAATGTGTGCAATTGGTACAACCTAGCGCAACAATCGACTTCCTGCCGAATGAGGAGTCGACCGAGAAAGTCGTGCCAGTGGAAAGGAACAGTGAGGACCTGACGACCGATAGAGGCCGCCGACCATGGAAGGAGCCGGTCGAGAAGAAGGACGAGCTGGACCCTCGGGACCAATTTAAGGAAAAGAAGGCCGAACGGGCGAAACCCAGCGAGGACACGGAGATCATCTACCTTGACGAGCCTTACTGCACCAAGTCATTGCGCATCGGGATAAATCTGGGGGAGCCCATCTGGTCCCAACTCATCACTTTTTTTATTAAAAACGCAGATGTGTTCGCATGGACGTATGAAGATATGACAGGAATCGATCCCAACATGGCTTGCCATAGTCTAAAGATCAACCGAACGTTCAAGACGATGGTGCAGAAAGGAGAAAGCTGGGGCCGAACCGACAAGAAGCACTTGAAGGCGAAGTAATCAAGCTGGTCGGCAACCGATTCATCTGAGAAGCAAAGTATCCGATCTGAGTTTCCAACTCGGTCTTGGTGAAAAAGAACAAAGGAACGTGGCGGTTGTGCATCGACTTCAGCGACCTCAACCGGGCCTGCCCCAAAGACAGTTATCTGTTGCCCAACATCGATTACATGATGGATGCCACGTCCGGGCACGAGCTCATGAGCTTCATGGATGCCTATTCGGGATACCATCAAATCCCGATGGACTCAGACTATGAGGAGCAGACATCTTTCTATTCGGCCAGGGGGCTATATTGTTACACCATGATGCCGTTCGGTCTGAAGAACGCAGGGGAAACGTACCAAAGGCTCGTGAACAAGATGTTTGCCAATCTTATAGGTCGAACCACGGAAGTTTATGTAGATGATATGCTTGTAAAATCCGTGTATGCGAACGATCATGTAACCCATCTTAATGAAATGTTTTCTATCTTGCGCAATTACTTGATGGTGTTAAATCCCAAAAAATGTACGTTTAGGGTCGGGTCGGGTAAATTTCTAGGATACATAGTTAGTCGGAGAGGTATCGAGGCAAACCCCGATAAAATCAAAGCGATCCTAGAATTAAAACCCCCTAGATCCGTGAAAGAAACTCAAAGTTTAACGGATAGGTTAGCCGCCTTAAACTATTTTATTTCAAAATCAACGGATAAATGTAAACCGTTCTTTGAAGCCATTAAAAAGAATAAGCAGTTTGAGTGGAGGGACAAATGTAAAAAAGCCTTGGATCAAATCAAGGAGACGTCGTCTTGTCGCCCGTCCTACAGAAGCCAACCCCGGGAGAGATGTTGTATCTATACTTGGGAATAACTCCAACCGCGATAAGTGTTGTGCTCGTTCGAGAGGACAATTCCAACCAGCATCCGGTCTACTACATTAGCAAGGCGCTGCACGGCGCTGAAGTACATTACCCCCCAATCAAAAAACTCATCTTCGCGCTAGTGACCGTCTCGAGGAAACTCTGACCGTACCTCCTCGAGCACCAAGTCACGGTCGTATCAGCCTATCCTATCAGCCAAATTCTCCATAGGCCTGATACGTCTGGGTGGATGATAAAATGGGCCGTCGAGCTCGGACAGTATGATATTCAGTACAGACCACTGATGGCGATCAAAGGCCAGGCGCTGTCCGATTTCATAGCCGAATTCACTACTGGGGCCGAACCAGTCCAGAGGACCGAAACGTGGGAAATGTACATAGATGGTTCGGCGACGTTGGAGGGATCCGGAGGTGGGGCTGTGATAATCAGCCCCCAAAAGAAGTTGTACTGCCACTCGGTTCGATATTTGTTTTCCACAACAAACAATGAGGCCGAGTACGAAGCGCTCCTGTCCGGACTCGATTTGGCCGAATCCATGAACCTCACCAGTGTGAAGGTCTATTCCGATTACCTACTATTGGGCAAACAAATCTCGGGAGAGTTTGAGACAAAGGAGGCTCGGTTGGTCCCATACTTGAACTTAGCCCGTAAGAAAATGCAGAGAGCGAACATCCAATTAGAACACATTCCCCAGATAGAGAACGCCCAAGCAGACGCACTAGCGCGGTTGGCGTCTAGCCGGGGAACGGACGAGATCGAGTACGTATACACGCGACACCAAGAGAGGCCAGCTGTTCAAATCGAACAAGTCATGACAGTCGGAGGTACAAGTGAAGAAAGGTCATCCGGATGGATGGATCCCATCCGTTTGTATTTGGAAACTGGAGAACTCCCAATCGACCCGAAAGAGTCCAGATCCCTCAGGACCCGCTCGGCGAGATACACCCTTGTGGGATGGACGATGTACAAGAGGGGATATTCGACCCCATTGCTTAAATGCCTAAACGCAGAAGAGGCCGAACGAGTGATGAGAGAGATTCATGAAGGAGTATGCGGAAATCATTCGGGTGGACGAGCTCTAGCACACAAGATTTTATGACAAGGATATTATTAGCCCACGATGAAAAAAGACTCATTCAATTTGGTGAGGAAATGTGACAGATGCCAAACGTTCGCCCCGACTCTGAAACAACCGGCCCAACCGCTTACCTCAGTCTTTAGCCCGTGGCCGTTTGCAAAATGGGGGATAGATCTGATTGACCCCCTACCAACGAAAAAAGGTGGGGTTAAGTATGTGGTAGTAGCTGTCGACTATTTCACCAAATGGGCCGAAGCGGAACCGTTGGCCACAATCACCGAACAAAAGATGATTGATTTTCTATGGAAATCGATCGTCTGCCGTTTCGGCGTGCCACATTCGGTCGTGACCGACAACGGACGGCAATTTGAGGGAAAAAGGTTCGATTCGTTCTATGAAGATCTGGGAATTCGGCATCATATTTCCACCCCCTACCACCTGCAGTCGAACGGACAGGTGGAGGCCATCAATAAAATAATCAAGCAAGGCTTGAAGGTGCATCTGGAGAGTTCGAAAGGGGCCTGGCTGGAAGAGCTACCGAACATCTTGTGGTCATACCGGACCACGGCGCGGTCAACAACCGGAGAAACACCATTCTCGTTAGCGTACGGTTCGGAAGCGATGGTGCCGGTCGAAATCGGGTCAAAGACGTACCGGGTGAAAAACTTCGAAGAGGAGGCAAATAATGAGGGAATAAGAACGAGCCTGGACCTAATAGAAGAGTTACGGACGCAAGCAGAGTTAAAGAATGCAGCCTACAAACGGGTGGTAGAAAAACATTTTAAATGAAAAAAATGTAACTAGAAAACCGTAAAAACATTAAGGGAGTGTTTCTTTATAAATTTTATTCAATTCATATTCATTTCATACTCAAAATCTAAGTCAATTTTAACACAGCTCCACTATCCTCAATATTGTCAATATAATTAAATAGTATCAATCAATGATTCTTATACATCAAATTAACTTTAATTCACTATTCATCAACTCACATAGTTTTAACTAACCATCACTTCATATATTACTCTCCTACTTTTACATTCAATAAATTTTAGTTACTTTATTTTAAATATTATTTTAATATAAACTCAAAATTTTACTAATATTTAATCATATAACATTTTTCAAAATTGACTATACTAAATAATTATTTTGAGCAAATATATTTGTATCCAAGTGCGGCTTAAGTATCTGGAGCATAAGTGCAATTTGAAATTCATATATATGCAACAGTTATCTTGTAGACAAAGAATATGGTCACAACTTGAGAGTTGCGGCCTTGGAAAAATGATAAAATACAGAAAAAAAGGAAAACAAAAAAAGGGCCAATAATTTATTTATTTTGTTGGCTCAATTGTGACCTTTGCAATATGTCAAGATTTTTCAAATATCACAAATGAACTCCAATTATCCGACGAGTTGATTATCTGCCTTTGTATAAATTTCTCCACCCCACTTTTTGATTCTGTCTGCAGCAACAGAAGCCTGTATTGTATTTTCAAGCCGGTTAGTGAAACCCACACACACCATATATATATATATATGACTATTGAAAAATTAAAGCATCTCTCAAATGTGCAAACCTCTTTGTTCCAATTAGTCCTGTAGACCATGAGAAAGAGGCAAAATGTCTGCACAACTGTTCCTGTTATCATACCGATCCATATTCCCTGAAAAATTTAGAAGACAAACAATTATTTATCATAGTACAGTAAAAAAAATAGTAGATTCAAATTATTATTGGTTTATTTATTCATGTGTGGAGTCTAAACTTGTTTAAAATGCCCATATAAGAAGAACATTTCTAAAGGGTAGCCAATTATGAATGAAGTCAATGTATAGCGAGTTACTGCTACTTAATCATTTATGGAGCACTAATACTCAGAGCAACTATGGAGGATTTATTCTTCTCCAAAGCTGTTAGTAAGCAAAGTGCTAAAGAACAGGTATTTTCCCTCCTGCTCAATGTTTGAATATCAGAAAACTGGTGGTACTTCTTGGTTATGGAGTTCTTGGTCATCTTTTATACCTTTTCTGAAATTGCACTTCGGTATCATTATTAAGAATGGAGAAGACAAAAAGCTGAATGATATTAATTGGGTTTCTGAGATTAAATGCAACAAACCAGAGCTTAGAGTACATGTGAGATTAGTATAAATGATCAAGTATGTAGTTTGACCCAATGTTATTAGAAAACAAAGACTCACTGTTGCTAGTCAGTGTAATAGCTAAGTGTGGGTGTGTATATATATATATATATATATATATATATATATATATATATATATATATGATGTGGTTCAAATGAGAACCAAGTTTTAATATGAGAATCGTGAGAACCGCTATTTTTAATTGTGCGTAGTGCTATGATTGATTGTGTTTGGTGCTATTTTTAAACATGATGAATTTTATTAAAAATAGTAACACAATTTCTGTTAGAATTTGTAAAAATGATAGTATCATCTAATATGAAAAATAGCATCATACACAATTGAAAATAGCATAAAAAAGGGTTCTCATGGTTCTCACACCAAGACTAGTTTTTATTTGAACCAACGCCTATATTAAATGAAAAAAGTATATGTTGTCTCCCTAATAGTAGTTATAAAATTACAAGAAATGTGATATCGTCTATTCTTAGTCACTACATTGAAACAACAATTTACAAGTAGCTAGTGCTCGTTGGTGTGTTTTTGAGTGTTTGCCAATACACAATTTTTGTTAGATTCAACACATTGAAAAAACACATACCTTTACACCCATGTTTAGAACATATCCCATAAGTAGACCTAATGGAATGCCAAACATATAGTAGCACCCAATATTCACGTAGGCAACTAAAGCTTGCCATCCTGCCCCAATAGCCACACCTGCAAAAGAGACAATTTGCCCTCTTCTTTTCTTTTCTTTTCTTTTTTCATGTGCGTGTGCCTACTAACTATACTCACAATTTGGCAAAAATTTAATTTTAGTCCGTTTGTTTGTCTAAAGTCCTTTTTTGGCACTCTAACGTTCTCCTCATCAATAATGGTACATTATTTTGCAATTTCTATCATTATTGGAACATTATCCCGAAAATGGTTCATTATTTTTTGGGATTAATGTCTTAAAAATTATATAAATTACAACATAACGTACTGTTTTTTATGAGTAATGTCCTAAAAATAATACAAATTGCAAAAAAAACTTACTATTTTTTATATGAGTAAGTTAGTGAACCAAAAATGGACTTTAGTCAAGTAAACAGACCAAAATTGAAATTATTCCCTCACATTTTATTGATTACCTGAGAGCGCAGGTTGGACGTTGTTGATTACGACGCACATGGCAAGCAATGGAGTGAGTTCATATACGATTTCCTTCACCTTCGGACTTTCAGTAAACACTGAAGGATACTGTTTTTCGAATATGAGAATAATTGCAGCAACGACAAGGCTCAATAAGGTTGCAGTTACCACCACAACCACCATGGAAAATTTTGCGGTTCTTGGATGTGCTGCCCCAAGTTCATTTGAAACTCTTACACTGGAAACAAATAAATTACATGCACGACAAAATCAAATCTATTTTTTAAAATAAAAAGGTGAACAATATTCGTTTTAGATTGTGTACTCACCTTACTGCTGCGTTTAATCCAATGGATATCATTATCGTCCAACCTAATATGTTCATACTGCAAAATGAATACATAGTTGTTGTAAATCATAAGAAATGCATCGGTAGAGCACAAATTGGCGATAGCTCTCTATCGATTACTTAATTTGTTGTGCAATAAATATTAATATTGTAAGTTTCATCGTGTAAGTTTCATCGTATAAGAACTGAAGCAATCATATTGTTTTTCAGCCATTAACACACTAATGCTACATATAAAGATCACTAAATTCAGGTTGAAAATGTTGTATATTGTCAATATCAGCAAAAGTAATTAAGAAATCATCAGCAAAAGAAATCATCAGTAATGTACGTTGTCTTCTCGACATAGAAGAATTATATTATGAAAGCTAAGTCCAAATTTCAATAGATTTATACCTGTTTTATTGAGTGGATTTCCCAAATTTAAACCTTTTAAACCTGTTTTATTGGGTTGATTTCCCAGATTTAAACCTATTGTGCTTCTTAAACCTCTCTTGTTGAATGATTGATATTTCATAAAAAAGTAATTAATTTATAAGGTTCTACATATACTGTCCTGAAGCCAAAATTTAATCTTGGATAATACAGGATACTTGCATTTAATCACATGAGCCAAAATAATTCTATAACAACACATTTTCAAGAGATATGGGTCTACAACATAAATGACTTTAGGTAGCAATATTTATTGTAATACTTTACAAATGTATCATATTATTGGTTTATGTATCATATTATTGTAACACTTTTAATATAAGTGTTACCAAAAATTAGCAAAAGTATCATATAAGTGTTACCAAAAACTAGCAAAAATATTACTTTTGACTTTATGGTAGCACAAACAATTGCAGCGCCAATATTGTGTTACCTATTGTCTATAGTAACATTTTGTAGTTTTACGTAACATTTTATAGCTTTTACGTATCATTTCTTTGGTGCTACCTAAAGCCATTTATGTTGTAGTATACTATTTCAAAAAATTTAAATATACGTAATCTCAGATCATATAATTTTCGAAAAGTAATTAATTCGAAAACATATAAAAGTAGTATATATAAATTTTAAAACACAACTATTGACAATAGACAACTTTTAATTTTGATATGTAACTTTAAATATAACTTAATTTCTACTTTTTAAAATAAAATCAGTTTGTCATCTTACGCTTAAAAGTGAGGTACAAAATTAGACACTATATATTTTTAAGGAGAGAGTTTGGATCAAGTGAGAATGAAAGTACATAATGAAAGAAATAAAATAATTTGACACAATTGGATCGATCATATCAATAATCATGATAAAGTTAAAACTGAATAAACAATAGGCAAACACGCGGTGGTACAATTATAAATAAGTGAGCATATATTGGTCATTTGTATACATCTAATGACAATTGATATAGCCATAGTTGGGCTATGCCGGATTGACACTAAGTCTTGGTAGGTCGACCTTAGGAGTGAGTATAGGGAATGATTGCAGGATCTTTGAGTACCAAATTAAACTAGTACATCATGGATATATTGCACGGATTACGGAGTATAATATTATTTTATGCACTCAATTTCATCGCACTTATATTTTTTCGACCAAATTTTTATTTTTATTTTTTTTTTTCCGATGAATTCACATGCTCTGATATTTTTGTTTACTTTTCAACACGTTGGAGATTTTTTATTGATGGCGAGGCATTATATAAGCACTATCAAAAGTACTGGGCCTCCCAATGCCCGAAAGTGCACTATCAGCCAGCGAGTATAGAGTACCATAATTATAATAATTGGCCCATATGCATTTTGCGTGAAACTAGGGCTAGCAGTTTAGTCATTGGTGGGCTAGAGATTTGATTGGTNATTATGGAAATATTTTTATGAAATATATTATTTATTTTATTTAAGATATATTCATTTTTTTGAAAATTAAATAGAATAATCAATTTATTTTGAAGTAAATATAACGCCCGCGAACAACAGGGATATACTAAAATAAAAATAAAATATTTGTATCAAAAGAAATAAGTAAAGAAATTTAAATTTTTTTAATATAATGATAAAAAACTTTAGTATAAAACTAATAATTAAAAAATTAACAAAGTTAATTATTTAAAATAATACCTATGTTTTACACTCGATTTGTTAAAATGATATTTTTTTTAATATAACACATACATACAGACACACACACAAACACACACACACACACATATATATATTATCTATAACTTATTAATTTTATTCTGAATTAGTTTAAATTTTTTTTCCAAGTTTGATTAAAATTTTATATTCACAATTTTCTTCCCTCATTTATTATATTTTTAAATATCTTCAATTTTATAATATTCAATAATTTAAATTATAATGTGTATGGTTGTAATATCTTTAAATTTTATGAAATATAAAAGTTATTTTATCACTTCTACGTGTGAAAAATAAAAGTCAACGAAATCGGAAAATTATACCTCTTATACGCATATCATTTTATAAATAGGAATCTCTCACAACCGGCCCATAATATCAAAATATTTATGTTTGAAGATGATACCCTCAAATTTTAAATCAATAGATCCAAAATTGCATCAAAAGACTATCAAAAAAGAACTTAGGCTCACAAACGCATCTAAAAATATGGATAAAATCAACAAATTATACAGCAAAAAATTGATTCCACGCATGAATGTTAAAACAAAACTTTTAGTTTTCAAAATCAAACATAATTGGTCAAAAATTATTTTTGTGATGACCAATTTGTCGTAAAAGTCGTCACGCTTATTAATTGGTTTACAAACTATTTATTTTGCTTGTGTATCTAGTTTGAAACAGAGGGCCGTCAATTAGCTCAATTTTCAGCATGTACGAGCTCCCAACCTAATTTGTAATGTATAGAGATATATGCTCAATTGTGTTAAAATTTTATAATAACATCTCATCATTGAGTAACAATGACTTACAACAATTTCCTTTTAAAGCCGATACGTTTTTTTTTTCAAAATGGATAACTTATTTGCAATTAAATAAATGATGATACGCCAATTGACATGAGATGAGAGGAAACGGATGGAAGGCAACAAATTAATAGGAATTTAGATATGAAGTGAGAAAAGTGGTTCCTCATCTCCAAAGTCATTCACATTTGAGGCCGGTGGGATATTTTTCTAGACTATTAATACAGAAATATCTAACAACAAATATAAAATATGAAACATTTAAAAGAAAAAACATCTCAACTACACATGGAAAATTTAGTAATGGACCATATAGCCTGGAACAATTTCTTTGAAAAGAATTGAAAAATTAAATAGTTAGCCCAATATATTAAAAAATTTGGCCCAAAAGACACAACCCAAAATGACCTTTTATCAAGCAAAACATATAGAAAACTGTGTCTTAACCATGTGGCAAGACAGGGAGTCGCGAACTCCCCGTTATTAAGATGGAGAGGGATATATACATGTTTGTATCTATATATTCGAAAAAGCTTTTTCCGAAGCAGTTAGAAATTTAAACTTTAGTAAAATGAAGCATGTATTATGTGTTTTATTTTCATTTATACTATCTTTGGTTGTTTCANAAAAAAAAAAAAAATAGTTAATTGCAATTATATCATAACATAATCACGCCTTAAGTTTTATTTCATTTCAATGTAGACTTCAATAAAATCTTTAGTGCATTAATTAGAATTCTCTAGAAACATGGATAATTGATTTCTTTAAATTCATTGAATAATACATACACACACATATATAAATAGCAACCACAATTTATTTTATATGATATTCAATATTAAACAAATCCCTTAGTCATATGATATATAATATACTTAACTATGTTTATATTACAATTTCTCCAAACAAACAAAAAAATATCTTCCTGAAAAACAGTCAATTAAATTTTTTGGACGCATAATCTATATATATATATAATAAGAATTAACATTTACCATAAATAGTAGTAAGAAAAATCAAACCACATTTATTACATACTATTTTCAGCAATTTCTTTATTTTAAATTTTAATTTTAGTTCATTATCAAAAAAATTGGATGGTTTCTAAATTAATGGGTTTTAGATGCTTTCAAAAATTATAAAATCATTTAAAATCGGATGGTTCCTAAATTAATGTTTACATACTTTTCAAAGTTAATTAATGTTTAGNCTTTAAATTGCATACTAATCAATTAATCTTGATTTTTTTAAAATTACTATGTTTATTTTTTATTAATATGCATAAAATAAAAATAAATAATTCATCTTTAGATATATAATTTACAGTATTAATATACTATTATTTGGTGTAGACATATGAATCATAATTTTTTTTTATTTCATAAAATTAAATATTATATCTAAAGAAAATAAGGAAATTACTTTGGATTAATCGGGTGATTGAATTAGGGTACTGCCCACGTTGATTGAATTACTTTTAGGTGATATTTAAAATAGTCAAAAAACTTTGAAACAACTTAGTTGGTCCCAGTTATGTATCAGTTTGACCAGACCAAATCGATTATTGAACCTAAATATAAATTTTAATATTGAAAATACTTTATTATGTGAATGTGATGTAGTCCAAACTTTAAATAATCATATTAATAATACTTTTATGACAACATGATTAATGATTAAGGAATATTTATATATCATTTTATTATTATTTATGTGAACAAAATAATTATTTTATTATATTTTTTTTATTAATGTACGGTAAATATAAGGTTTTCAGAACCGGACCGTCATCGAAACGATCAAGTTATTTTATTAAATCATTTGTGGTTGTTCAAATTTTAATACATAATACTTATATATATATATATTTAGTACTTTTTGTAATTAATTTAAATAAAAAGTGTTACTTAAATATCTAAACAATTTATAAATTCAAATGTTTAAATTAATTAATAGACAATTTATAAATCTCTATTTTATTTAAATATGTAATTTTATTAAAATTATTTTTAATGTAACAAAATTTGTTTAGAAAATCGTATCGATCATACCAATCCAACAGACTGGTGTTGAAAGATTCGATAGCAAATATTTTATTC